GAGGTGAAAATTCGGCTGGGTTGCGCGAGGCCCTGTCTTGGGAGAGTTCGAGCTCGAGTCGGGGCATAAGGGAAAGCAGAAGCAAAAAGAATCGCAAGTTGTTTCGGGGAATAACTTAATATTTGCAAAGCGCTTCGCGGTACGGAGCACGAGGCAAGTATTTCAGCCTCGCGGCGAGGCCCACCTTCCGTCAGGTAGCTCTGTTCTCGCAGGTCCCGGTGAATGCGCCTAGCCAGCCGAATCCAGGGAGGATTTCTCCTGCAAATGGCAGGGGGAAGGCGCTGGGAATTCTCCCCTGGGAAGAGGTCAGGAGCTCACGCTTCAGCAGAGAGCTTTGCGGTACAAACCCCTGCCGTGGCCGTCCCAGACGTGGGGTGTCCCGCTGGCCGTACGGGCTGTCAGGGGAAGTGCCACGGCCCCCGGGCGAGAAGACGTGGAACGACGCGCCTACCTTTTGGTGCCACGTGGATTTAAGCACGTGTTTTTAAGTGCCTCCCTGTGTTCGGTCCTCTGGATGAAGTGCTCTTCTGTATCAAAATCTGTAGTGTTAGTAATGTGGGGAAGGTCAGGCCTTGGTTAACGTAATTGCCAGTACATTCAAACATTTTCCAGGTTTTCTTGAGAAAGAAGAAACACCCCCCGCTGGTTTCTGGGGCCTTTTACATACGTGCATGTGAGATTTTTCAAGCTATGGAGGGCTCTGTCATAATCCAGTAGGAATGTCTGTAGGAAAGTAACGTGCTGTTAAAGCGGGCATCTATTCAGAGAAACGACTGCAGAAATGGCATTGTGGGGTCCATGTTTATGGTTTCTCAGCAACGCTGGTTGACGTCTCCTCGGCTGCAAAATTAAAGGACTTTTTTTCGACTTGCCAGCTCTACAAGCTTAGCTGGGGCTCCCCGCCACGCTGGGCTCCATCAGGCTCACGCATCATCAGGACTCGAATCAGTGCATGGAATTTAGTTAATAGCTAATAGTTGATGCATGAGACAGAAACGAGTCCAAGGCCTGAGCTTTGCTCGCTCTGCGGGGCACTGTAAGGTACTCAAGACTTATTTTAAATGTTGAAGCATGCAGGTCTAGCCCTGCTTGAACCGTGTGGCTGGTTCTGTTGATGAGGTACCATTTCTACATGTAATCACGTTGCAGGGAATGGCGAGTAGTTACATACGCGCCCGAGCTTTCCTTTGATTTCACTGGGAGTTTTGGGCATGCAAAGAATGTGGGAATGGATCCTACGTGATTTATTTGCCGATAATTTGCACAGACTAATTCTTGGCTGTGTTACGTGCATTTCCTTTCTGCAAAGCCTGTCTTGGAGTAGTTTAAGCACCATCAAATCTATCTGCAAGAGCTTTTGAATACAGTTTTGGGAGGGAATGCCATCAAGCTAACTTCCCCACTTGTGAAAAAAAGAATGTATATCTAGGTTATTTTTGTGCATGGTTATCCCTAGGGCTTTAAATGGCTATAAAGTAAGGACTATAGCCATTTAAAAGAAGTTACTAGGAAAGGACCACAGTGACCTTGGCAATATCTAATTGCAGGCTAAACTTTCTGGGTGGGCATTCAGCACTGGATACAAAAAAAGTAAAATCTTGGCAGGAGCTGCCAGGTCTCATTATTTTCAGTAGAGCTTGACATTTCCAGTGTTTAAAAAGAAAAAAGAATAAAAAGAATAAAGTCAACAACTTCAAAGCAGTAGGGGCATACGGAAAAAAATGTTTGAGCAAAACCAATTTAGCAGCGATATAATTACAATCAGAGAAATGAGCGAAGTGGGTTTTTTTCAGGCTTGCTTATGCCTTTTCCTTTCTTCCCTCCCTGTCCCCCCTGCAGGAATGGGAGCTGGTGGTGCTGGGGAAGTTGAAGTGGAACCTCGCAGCCGTCACCCCACACGATTTCATTGAACACATCCTAAGGAAGTTGCCTCTACCTAAAGACAAACTGCTTTTGATCCGGAAGCATGCACAAACGTTCATTGCCCTTTGTGCCACAGGTAGGCCAAGGTGCTCTGGGTGCTCCTGCTGCTTGTCGTGTGGTTGAAAGGGCAGATTAGTCACTGGTGGTACGAAGGCTTTTCACCGCCTCCATCCTTACGTGATGCAGGAAGAGCGGCTGAAGAGCAGCTCAAGCGGGTGGGACTCTTTGCAAAAGGCATCGTGAATCAGGCCCCGAAACTGCATATAAATGGAATTCTGGCAGTCGGGAGCTGTAGTGCAGTTGCAGTCCTGCGCTTCCTAACGCATGCGGTGCTTTTGCAGTGAAGTCAGTAAGATGGGATTAGACCATACGATTTTCTGCTTTGCCCGTTCACAAAGTTTTTTTTTAAGGGCCGCAGATAGTTTGTAAGGACAGATGTGGGACAGCCAAAATAGTAGAAGCTGTTATGGCACATTAGCCCAAAATGCATTGGGCTAACGCATTAGATTAATGTGTTTGTAAATTTTTCATTAACTGGACACTGTCCAGATAAAAGGTAAAAATTGTATTTTAGCGTGTACGTGATATTACCACATCACTGAAGCAGAGGGACTGACAATTTAAGAAGTAATGACTTCTTTTTTAAACATTTGGGTTCTTTCCCTAACTTCACTCCAAGAAAGCAGTGAAACTAGTCTGTCTCATAGGGAAACGTTACACTCCCCTTTTGTCGTATGTTTGGCTGAATACAGTTTCTGAAGATTTAGATGAGAATAATTGCTTCTGTGGAAGAGAGGCTTTTAATTTATACCTGTCTGCAAAACACTGTTTGGGTTTTTTTGTTGTTGTTGTCTTTTTTTTTTCCCAGTGACTTTTAGAAAATAAGCGTACTCTGATTTTCATCCCAAGGATTAATAGTTAAACCACTTCTTAGAAGCTAGACTTGGAACAGATAAACAGCATGCAGTGTTTTCCAGGGTTATTATCAAGTAGTATATGGCTCAATGTTTGAATTCACTAAAGTTGGACATACCTTGTCCTTTGTGATAGGAACTGTTCTGCCTGGGTGTTTGCAGAGGGGGAAGGAAGATGGGGTGCATCTTTTGGGTATGAATGTCTGCTGCTGTGCCTGCTTCTCGGTATTTGAGATGTAGTGACTGCTTTTACAATATAGGCCAGTTTTTGCTACCTCAGTTGATCTGTTTTAGAGAATCTTATATGGGCTGGGTTAGGGTAAGTGACTTTTTGGTTACCAAGATGCTTTCCCTTCTTTTCCCACTGCTGCGTGATCCTTTTCAGGCAAAAGACCACAGGACTCGGTAGAAATATTGCTCAAAGTCTGCAGGATTGCTCTTGGTAATTAATCAGACATTTCTGGACTAATTAGCTTTTTACTTTAGGGTTAATCTGTTACATCAGCTTTGCCTGCTTTCTTTGTCTTCGCCCCTTACCCAGGATTCATTCATGCTGCCCTTTTTCTTCTGAAAAAAGATGGTCTTACCCATGGACACTTCTCTGGATCCTAACAACACCATCAGCCATCAACCTCCAGCATACCTGGATGTTGTCTTCCAAACCAGATCAATCTTCTCTCTCTTTGCTTTCACATCCTACAACAGTGTTTTGGTTGGTTTTGTTTTATCCAAGAGGACATTTTCTTGAGTGACATAGATTTCTTTATGATTTAACTTTTCAAATTCTGGTTTGTAATCCTTTGCCCTTAGAAGTTTTCTATATAACCAAACCATTGCAGGCTTGTGGACCATGAAGGAGTTTCCAAAGTCCACGGCTTCTTTCCACTCTTTCTCCATGAATTCTTCGATGGTTAGCTCCATGCTTTACTAGTCCATTTACTGAGATCCAGACCAGCATCCCCTTTCCCACCCTTAGCCCAGTCATGCACTTCTCTCATGTGCTTCCCTGTGTGATCTACTTCTCATGTTGTATGTCTCCAATGGGTGAACCGAAGTCCTTCACCTAGTGTTTAAAGAGGCAACAAGTCAGTTTCTTTTCTTGCAAGTGAAAGACATAATTGACTGTGTACAGAGCTTCCCAAAAGACAGGGCTGGCTGTAGATTTTCTTTTCTTCTCATCCCATTTTCCACAAACCACTGTGTTGGCATTTAGTTTTGAGAAGGACCCACAACCCCTCGCAGTTTCAAAAGCAAAGATCTTACCCAAGCACTCATTCCCAGTTTTCTACCTCATTCCCAGTTTACTAGCAAGCTACTACCCCCATTTGCATTACAGAAATGTTGTTGCTGCTGTATTTCCCTTTCACTGCCACTCTTCTCAAAGTCATTCTTACCCTGCTCAGTGAAGAAAAGCCCCTTCTCTTCAGACTTCCTTCCAGATCCAGTTGTCATTTCCTTTTCTTGTCCTATTTGTTGCAAAGCTCTCATCGGCCGCCGTGTTTCTTCTTTCCCTTTCTCCCTCAAAGCTTCTGCTCTCTGCCAGCTGGGGTTAAGCCTGGTGTTTCATTTCCCCATTTGCCTTCTTTCAGCAATATGACCTCCTTTGACATGTGGCCGCCTCTTCCCTTGCTCCCTCCATGCATGTTTTTAGCCCAGTTTTGACTCTTCACTGTCACCAGACCTGACCTCGCTGGCTGGCTAATGGCTCTGGTCTGGAGTACAGCAATGAATCTCTTTTTATTTCCAGATTCATCTCAGTGCAGCTTTCTCTGCTCTCAAGTACTTTTTCTTCTTCTTTAGTGTATCATGCAAAATCTGGCGCATTTTGAACTTTTTTCCTCTAGCCTGAGTTCTTCACCAGCTGCTCCGTTTTAATTTACCAGCAAAAGCGTTATACCAGAAATTCCCAAGTGTTCTCTGCCTTTACAAAGCCGGCTGTGATCTCGGTCCTGCAATACTTTGTGTCAGCAAACTGGGAAGGAAGCAACCATTAACAGTTCTGGATGTTGTGCTGGATGTGTAGTATCACTTTGATATTAATCTCTAGTCTCCTTTCCATTTGAACATTACGCAAAAGGAGATGATACTCAGTTCTTTTGTATATTCCTCTCAGTCATGTTTTATCATTTTGGCGCTCACTCTCTTTCTCTGCCTTTATTTTGAGCCCAGTTTCTGAAACAAGCTGTGTGGATATATAGCCGTGGCCTCTCCCCAGTCCTTGCGGTGATTAATGATTCACATGAGCATGACTGAAACTGGAACGTATCCCTCTTTGCCCTTGGTCCCATCTGAACATATGGCTGCTGAACAAGACAGAAGCTTACTCCCTGAATAAAGTTTCTCTTTCCCTTGCCCTGCACTTGCAACGCTTTCAGGAGCCTCCTTCTCTACTGGAAGGGCCAAAAGTAACGTCCACCCACAGCACGTCCCTGGTTGTGCTGCCAGCGCCGTGGCCATGCAAACAGGATACTGTCATTAAGCGAGAGCTTGGGCTGTTGGGTGGGAATTGCCTATGCATAGACCAGCTTTCTTCAAGCTGCCTCGCTCTCTGCGCAGTAAGAGCATATAGATTGACATGCACTGGCATAGCCTAGCTTGTCATGATGTCATTTGTTTTCTCATCCCACTGGTGGCTCCCTGTGCAAGCTAAAATCTCCTTCAGGAGTATTCTGAATTTTAAAGGCACTAAGAGGCTGCACGTGGAGCCCTTGTCCTTACAATATAGCTTGGCAAAATTGATCCTTACTGCTTTTTCAGCATGGGAGGATCCTCTTAACCTGTGAGCCCAATGGAGATCGTCCTTCTTTTGCTCTCTGGGATTGCGTCGCTCTGCTGCTCTGACCCCACCTCCATCTGTTCGTTGCTTTGCACCCTTCATTCCTCCTCTTGTCTCTTCACACAGCGCTCCACAGTTTGGAAATGTTTTCTCAGGGACTGGTGCAGGATACCCCTTTTTATCTCAGTGCCTGTAAGGGAGTGGGTTTTGGGGGAGGACAGGCTGTGCAAGTCAGGCTTTCAGAAAGAGGAGCTCTGCGTCTCTGAACACAGGCTGTAACGGAGAGACTAATCTCAGTGAGGAGGTTTTTGGTGTTTTATTTAAGTGGCATGCAAAACTTGGAAGCAAAAGCTTTGCAGACTTGCAGAGACAGAAGGCGACTTGTGTAGATCCCTAGACTCAGCCCTTTGCATGGTCTCTTCTGTGCTTCAGCTGAGTCCTATGGCAGGTGAGATGTTCTTGTGATGGATACAATGCAGCATCTCATAGACTGGTGGCTTTCAAAGCCTGTGTCTGCAAAGAGGCTAAGAAAGAGGAGGAAAATTTCAGCTTTAAGTCAGTCTTGTACAGTGTGCCAAACCTCTGCCCACTGTTTCTGGGACATTAATCATCTACATTTGAAAGCTGAGAAGGCTTTTTTTTAAACTTCTGGGCCAAATCCTGGGTCCTTACTCAGACAGAAGTTCTGTGGAAGTCAATGGGAGTGTTGTCTGAGCAAAGACTGCAAGATGAGGCCCACAACCCTAGTAGTGATTTGGAGGGTAACCACACAGAATGCTTTGTAGCACCAAGAGGTATGTTTGGTCCTCAGGACTCCTGCTGGACAAGTCGACTATGCATCCTTCCCCGCTCAGCCAATGTAAGAGTTACTGGGCTCTGTCCTTGCAGAGGATAGAAGTGTGATACGAGTTTTATTCGGGACCTGTTCTTTGCAGAGGGAAAGAAAGACGTCCACAGAGCCTTCGGTGTGTGGATTAATCTCTTAGAAATAAAATCCATGCTGCAAAGTGGCAGTGGTTGCATGAATACTTCTTGCATGACAGAAGAAAGAATAATCCACACAAATTTATTGCCATACAAAAGACAGCTCTTGCTTGTTCCTGGGAGAGGCAGCTCATATCAGTATATTGAGCTTTCCAGCAAAATGAAGCCACAAGAACCACGGAAGCTCCATCAACAAGTAAGCAGGGCCTGGGGAATATTTCCTATTAGCAGAGTCACTCCTTAAACTGTAGGGCCCATCAAATCTGGGAAGATGAGGTGGAAGGAAATGGAGGAAGAGAGCCTTTGCTGATACAAACTGGCATAATTCTAGCACTGCCAGATAAATTGCCCTCCTTCCTACCAGGTGCACATCTGACCTTTAGGTGGTTCAAGCGCTAACAT